GGGGGAGAGTGGGGGTGGGGGGCTGCCAGAGCCCATAAGCAGCATACAGCTGGGTAGAGCACCATGACATCTGGGGCAATGTGGTGCCCCAAATGTCATGGTTCCCCCCACGTCTGTGTGTTTTGCATATGTGTAGGGATGGCCCGGGAGCTCTTCTTCACTATGGAGATCCCAAGGCGGCCTGGCCCGGCCCAGCCCAGCCCTGGACAGGCTGTAATGCGAGTATTCCCCCTTTCCTTTTCTTTCCTTTCAGACCAGAGGCCGTTCTACTACAACGGCAACTTTAAAGTCACCGATGTCCGGTACAGCGACGACCTGGCCCGGAAATCCTCAGGCGCGTTTAGAGAGCAGAGCAGAAGGGTCGAGAGGCTGGGGTGTGGGGATTTCTCTCTTCGCAAGCTGGTCACTGAGCTCACGGGGGGATGATGAAGTCAGACCGATTCGCTGTTCTGTCACGCACGCCCCATGTTTCCCCACGGCCTGCGTCCGGGGTTGCTTCTCCCTGTCAGGCTCCATCTTGGCCAGCGTATTGGAGCTACCCCAGGGGACCTGCGGGGCCGAAAGCATGCCCGAGCTAGTTGTGGGGGAGCTGGCACAGACTCGGAACCTCGACAGATTGGGCAGGTAGACTTGGCTTCGCCCAGAGACCTGCTGGGCCGCTTCCCCTCCTCCTCCTCCTCCTCTCTCCTGTCTGTCCGGATGAGCTCTTTGGGGCTGGTTGCTGTGACCGAGCCTCGTAGCAACCAGAATGCACTTGAGACCCCGTCCCTCTCCCTCTCCCTTTAGCAATTCAGCAAGTCCTCTGCGGGGGTCAGCAAGACGGTGAATATGCCGGCACAGGGTAGGCCTCCCAGGCTGGCCTTCCCTCATCCGGGTGGGGGAGAGCTGACAGACTTGTTGTGCCCTTGGGCAAGGTGAGGGGGCATCTTCCAGAAGGGGCCTCAGTGCCACCTGGTGCTTGCCGCCCCCTCCTCTCTGCCAGCCCTCAGCACCGCTTGGAATTTGCCGCCCTCCCTCCCCCTGCTCCATCAGCCCTCAGCGCCGACTGGCACTTACCCCCTGGGGCTCCGGCGGTGATTTAAAGAGCCCAGGGCTCCAGCCTTTGTTGCAGTAGCCGTGGCTGGAAGCCCCGGGCCCATAGGCACAGGAACTGGGGGCCCAGCATCCCCGCTTTTAAAAATGTTCCTGCACCACTGCCTGGGCCCTTTTGAATCCCTGGGCCCGGGGCAGTTTCCCCCTTTGTCCCGTCCCCCCATTGGCAGGCCTGCCCCCAGCTATGGAAATGGCGCACCTTGAAGAGAAAATCAGAAAGGAAATAGCACTTCCCTGCAGGTGATGACGACAGAGGCAATAAGCAAGCAGCTGTGCTTGTGCCTTTCACTCCTCACGCCACGATGCTGGGGTCTCACTTGTTTCGTGGCCTTGCCTTCGCGTTCCCTCACCGGGCAGTCGGCACCTCCCGCTCGCCTCAGACCGCTCAGGCATTTACCCGAGGGCTGAGCACCTTCGTCATGATAACACGTAAACCCTGGAAAGCATCTTGCTGTAGGGGAGACAGCGCTGGCTTGGGATCCTGCTGTGACCTTAGCTGAGTCACTGCTCTCCTCCGTGCCTCTCTTTCCCCTTCCATCCCATCTGTCTTGCACCTGAAATTACAAGTGTACGGGCTGTCTCTGATGCTGGACAGCACCTGGCCCAGTAGGGCCCTGCATTTAGTTGGGGCTTCAGATGCTACTGAGAACACCTACAAATATGGGGCTTTTAAATGTGTGAGAATCAGAGAATTGGGTGGAGGGGGAAAGTCCTCCAAAAAGGGCAAGAATGTTTATTTCTTTAGCCGAATTGTATTTGCTGCGCAACGCATTCATTGTTAGATATACTGTTGGAGAAATAGTATTTGTGCTGCTCTAGTAATGACACCGTGTGCTGGTTTTCCATAAGCCACTCCTCCCATCTGCTCTCCAGAACTGTCCTTGCCTCCTCTCTTAATTTCTCCACAGGTAGCTTGAGCTCCCTATCTCCTTTCGACCCGACTTGCTCCATGATGCAGCCTTATCCATTCCCACAGAAACAGTACCTGCTGTAAAACAGCCACCTCTCTGCTTTCCAGCTCCTACCCAAGAAAACACCCCGGCGCTCTTCCTTCTCCTTCTTTTTAACCTCAGCTGTTCTACCCAAAAAGGAGGAATGGAATGGAATCAGACTACCTTCTTCAAATTGCCCTTGGCAATGTAGAAAACAACTCAGTGTACAGATGACTAATGAGAGACTCTTCCTGGATCTAATCCTGCCCCCCGAAAGAAACCAATGGCAAAACTCCAGTTGACAAAACTGAACATAAGAACGGCCAGACTGGGTCAGACCAAAGGTCCATCTAGCTCAGTGTCCTGTCTTTTGATAGTGGCCAATGTCAGATGTCCCAGAGGGAGTGAACAGAACAGATAATCATCAAGTGATCCCTCTCCTGTCCTGGCTCATGAGTATTGCTGGACCAAACCTCCATTAATTTATCTAGTTCTTTTTTGAACCCTGTTAAAGTCCTGGTCTTCACAACATCCTGTGGCAAGGAGTTCCACAGGCTAACTGTGCATTGCAGGAAGCAAAACTTTCTTTTGTTTGTTTGTTTTAAACCCCCTACCTATTAATTTCATTTGGTGACCCCTAGTTCTTATGTTATGGGAAAGATCAAAGCTGTTTGTGGTACTTGGAGAAGTTCCTATATTCTGCAGCAATTCTAGGAGAAAAATGTATTACATTTATTCTGGAGACAACAACACATTCAGCCCAATCCTCTCTGGACCATGTACAGCATTCTTATTAATTGGCAGGTTTCTCAGCTCGCTGGCATTTTCATCCAAAGGGGTTTCACCTATTTGTGAAACCTAACTTCCATTCCCTTTGTTGTTATGGCTCCCACTTCCTAATCCATCTGGATTTATTCGAATCCTTTACAATCTGCCCCCAGACATAAGCTTCCCCATGGTTGTTAACCGCAGGGATGTTTAGTTTGGGCAGCTGTTGTGAAACAATTAGTCATTGTAAGTAAATGCAGACTCTTCATAGTGATAAACACGGTAAGCAAAGGTGAATCATCCCTCACAACGAGATATGTACAACTCCTTGCAATCTCTCCCTGCTCTGATCCTTATCGGAATAGAATCATAGACGTTTAGGGTTGGAAGAAGACCTCAGGAGGGCATCAAAGCAGGACCTCCTCATTGATCTCTGTCATCCGTATTCAGACCGGCTCAGAAACGAGTTGTGTTTAGAGCATTAGGAGAATGGTTTTGACCCACAGAGGAGAGTTACTCCAATACCTTCCCTGGAATGAATCATCCTCCCTGCTTCTTTATCTCTTTGAAGGCCCGTGAGAAGGTCAGAAATTGTGCTAGCAAGCTGATGAGCATGGTGCTCCAATCAGTGTCCAACAACAGACAGGAAAAACTGGCAAATTTAGTCCAGGGGTGATGCAGGAAGGTGGAGGAAACAAGGAAGCAATTGTTGAATCATAGAACACTAGAATTGGAAGGGATCTTGAGAGGCCAAGTCCAGTCCCTGCCCTCACAGCAGGACCAAATACCTTCTAGAGCCATATTGTCCTACCAGTTCTGACCCAGTAGCCTCTTGTTATAGTGGACTAGCCACATTATTCTGAAAACGTAAATAATTTTGTGGGCCAACAAGCCACACTCTACTGGCTAAATAACCACGTGTGGCTAGCATGTTGGACGCCACGATCTAGACCATCCCTGACAGAAGTAATCTAATCTGCCCTTAAATATCTCCAATACTGGAGATTCCACAGCTTGCCTTCGAGGAATAGCACTTTTGAAATATAATACCTGAGTATGTCGGAGGACAACTTACGTAGGTTTGCAGATAATATGTTGTGTGAGCATCAAATCTTGTTATTTTTCTACCAAATATTGTAAAGTCACAAACTGTTGTGAAAATTTCACAAAATGATTGTGAAAATGTTGAAGTGTTACAAGTATTGTGGAGCATGCTGGGGAAATAATTTGTATTGCTCATGGGAAAGTATTACAAAATAGATCAGAGGGGAAACAGTCGGGTTTGAAATGAATGGTCTTGGAACTAGATCCATGAAAGGATTTCCACAATAGATTACCAGGATAATATGGGGCAGATTCCATCCTCATTTACACCCATGCTGGTTGATTAGAGGCACATATTTAATGGTGACACGGGGGTGAGATGGAATCTTGTGTAGGGCCAACTTCTGTTGGGGAAAGAGACACGTTTTCAAGCTACACAGAGCTCTTCTCCAGGTCTGGAAAAGGTTCTTCAAGCACCACAGCTAAATACAAGGTGGAAGAGATTGTTTCACATAAGTAGTTAATACGTATTTCAAGGGATCATTCGAGGTGGAATGGCCCATTAATACATCTGCAGTCATTGGGGGAGTGAAAAGGAGTTAGTGGGTTACGGGTAATTGTAATAGCCCATAAATCTGGAGTCTCTGTTTAGTCCATGACTTTTAGTGAATGTTTGTGCCCGGGCTCCTTTTTGGCAAGTGTGGTGCAGGTTTCCTTTGAGGTTGAGGACTGAGAGATCAGATCTGGAGTGATCACTGTGTGAAAAGTGTCCGTCCACAGGTGACAGGGTGTTTTTGTTGTCTATCGTTTTCCTCTGTGCGTTCATTCCGGAGAATGCCGCTTGTCTGGTTTCACACACTGAGTTGCTATTGAGGCATTTGGTACACTGGGCGAATACACCACTTATAGGCATCCATGGGTCTTGAAAGGTGTGTTGGGGAGGCGTTGATCATTGTAGCAGTGTAGATATGGCTGCACGTTTTTGCGTTTGTTGTTCTGGCAGGTTCTGTTGCTGCTTTGAGTTGGAGAGTCCTTATCTGTGGTGATGAGTTTGGAAAAGGTAGGGAGTTGTTTGAAGGCCAGTAGGGGGTGGGGGAGTTGAGGGAAGATTTCTTTGAGGATACAGTCCCCATCGAATATGGGTGGAATCTGTATGATGATACCTCCCCCCATCTTAACAAGCAACAAGGAGTCTTGGGGCACCTTTAAAGACTAACACATTTATTAGGGCACAAGCCTACAAAAAGGCTGCAGCCCACTTCATCAGATGCATGAACTGAAAGATTCAGTTGGCAGGGGACTTATATGAACATACAGAGATGGGAGTGTGACATTAATGAGGCTAATTCAATCAGGGTGGATGTGGCTCACTTCCAACAGAGATAAGAAGGTGAAACTATTCAAAGTAGAAAATTACTTATTGTAATGAGGGTGCCATTCCCAGTCCCAATTCAGGCCCATTGTGAGGGTGTCAAATTTGCATACAAATGCCAGCTCATCAGTGGCTGGCTGCCATCTACTTTTGAAGGTTTTTTG